GTTTGGGGGCGCAGCGGCTGGAGCAAACAGGCCCAGGCGACCCCCTGCTCGCAAGCCGCCTGCCGGCGCCCTGACCCTTCCCGTAGGCCGTTGTACTCGTGCACTGGGACCGCGGTCGACAGGCGAAAAGGTGCGTGCGAAAAAAAAAAAACATGCCAGCCTCGGCGGTGCGGTCCACACGCGGTGCGGAGCTGGTCGGCGACCCGGCCTGCGGCTCCACGGGCGGGCCAACAAGTTGTCACGGTTTGTGGGCCTCGCCGCGACTGCGGCACGCAGGAAGCTTGGGTACGGGGTGGCGGGAGGGCTGGAAGATTGGGTGCATGGGGCGCCGCCGCTTCTTACAAGACGCGGCTCAACAGCTCGGCAAGGGATTGGCCCGCTGCGGCTGCGAGGTCGGCGAGCTCCGACTCGCCCCCCGCGGCTATGCATGCGAGCAGCTCCGAGGCTGCGGTCGCCCAGGCCGGGGCAGGAGGGCCAGGCTTGATTTTGCGGCTCCAGTGAAGGACCGCGCCGGGGCAGCTGCAGCTGGCCTCAGTGGCGGCTCAGGTAGGAGCGAAAGAGACTTTTCCGGCAGGTGGAAAAAGGCGTGGGGAGAAAAAAAAATCCAGTTCATGCTGTCGCGGGTATCTGCCGCGAAGCCGGCGCAAAGGTCGCCCGTAATGTCTGACCGGCCGACATGAACCTCGATGTGCCAGTTGCGGACGTGCGGCGGCCCGCCGCCATTCCAGAGAGCTGTCTTAGACAAGTTCAGGGGGAGGTGGGTGTGAAAACGTGAGGTGATTGAAGGAGGCGGACGACATCCAAGATTCGCTTTAAGGCTGGCAGGAATGGTAACGTCATCCGAGTACGCGAGGACGCGTTCACTAAGGCCAGGTCGGACATCAACTTGCGTGCACGTGCTTCGTGGCCAACAGCAGGCGGATGTGCGACCCAGCCATAGGCGTACGAACGGCAGGAACGCCAACGTTTCGGGAACATCTTCAGCTCACGAGACACTGTTTGACGACGCATGCCGGGCACCTGTTTACGACTGCTGCGTACACGCGGTCCCCGTGCAACCTACGAGCTAAACCTCTACCTCTACCAGCCGATCTCGCAGTCAGCCTGTGCTCCTCCGCGAGGAGCTCGTGCAGCTCAGGCCCAGGCCCGTCTCCAAGGTCGGCGACGGGGGTAAAACTCGAGGAAGGAGGTACTTGCTTGCGGGGCACCGCGGCGTTGACGGTGCAGCCTGGCAGAGTGTCAGCACGGGGGTTGGGCTTCACCTCGCGGGCGCGGGGGCCGCGTCTCCGAGAACCAGACTTTGAATGCTCTGCGAAGCGGATCCCGACACGGCCTCCAAGCGGGCGCAGGTCCCGCCGCCCCAAATCATCGGGAGGCCGTCGGAAGTGGCATCAAGGGCGATCTGGGGCCGCTTGCGGAGTCCAGTCTATCTCTTCTGGTCGCACAAGCCGGGGAGATCCCGGGAGGATCTGTCGTTGATGGGGAGCCTCAGCCCCCCTTGGCGTAATGGTGATCCCTGCGCCTATGCCAAGGGATGGTTGGATGGATGGCTGGATGGATGGATGGATGGATGGATGGATGGATGGATGATGGATGTATGGACAGAGGGATGGATGGATGGATGGATGGATGGATGGATGGATGGATAGATGGATGATGGATGTATGGACAGAGGGATGGATGGATGGATGGATGGATGGATGGATGGATGGATGAATGGAGGGAGGACTTGGCGGATGATATTATGTTACGTGTTGGGTCTTTCGGGACTCGTTGTCCGGTTTTGTTGCCACTTTATCATGCTGGGTTGTCCAAATCTAGGTTATGATTCTTATCGAGATGTGTGCCATGAGCACATGGGACTGTTGCACACTGTCCCAGAAACCGGCAATGGAGTGCCTCCACCGGGGCTGGCAGCGCTCCGCCTCCCAGTCGGCTGGCGACTTCTGTCACCGTGCGCTCGGGCGTGACCTTTGGCCGCCTGCTGCACTCGCACGCTGGCCCAGTCACAGCACGCACCCTCATTGCACGACCTGCATCGCAAGAGCTCACCTAGACTCCTCCTTGTTCCGCATCCGCAGCTCCGCTGGCTGCGCCGGCATGCGCCGGCTGCGCTTGCCGTTGCCGTACCGCACCGCGCGCGCACGCACACCGGGTCCGTGGTGCGCCCTCGAGCGTGCAGGTGCTCGGATCTGCCGGGAAGCCGAGGCGACCCACCAATGTTCCTCAACCTGACCGCGCAGCGCCAGAATGAGCGGAGAATTGTAGTGTAGTCAGCCATTTAATGAAATTTGATATTCGTTTTGGCTCCGAAGACGAGGGAACGGAACACAAGGGCAATGTGTTATGTGTGTTAGTTGACGGGGTGCCTGGGTGTCCGACCCGTTGCGGCCGGTGGCCCCGCAGCACCATGAGCAAGCGACGATCTCAGATTATGCAGGGTGGCACTTGCGTTCGTCAGCAGATGTCAAAGTAGCTTCCAAGGACCACTGCACCCAAGCCAATTGCTCCCGCCGGCGGTCAGCGGCTTCACAAAGCATGCATGCGGTTTGTTCGCGTCAACCTGGAGCAATGCTGACAGCCAAGGTTCGGCTTGGAGGCATTACCAATCTAAGGAAGTGCATGCCTTGGCGGTGCTCCTTGCAGGTCAGTGCTCCGTGCAGGACGAGAGGGTGTAAGACAATAGGATTGTGCTAGCTGCCGTGGTATTCGTCTAGAGCTGTGTGCAGGGGAGTACGCGGAAGCTTTCGGTGATTTTCGGTGTACAACTGACCGAGGTGCTGGGTGCAGCAGGATCGGCTGGCCTCATCGGTATATTCTCGCGAGGTCCTCATCCTGCCATGGCGGAGCAGGATAGTTATGGAGCAGTCGATGCATCAACAGCTTGGCAACCGATGGTTTGCCTGCGCGGTCCCGCTGAAACACATGCCGAGATTTACACCAAACGCAAAGACATGCACTGACAACACAAGATGTAGACATGGATCGAAAACACAAGACGTGAAGCCCGATAGCCCGTCGACATGTCATGGTCTGTTGAGACATGTAATGCAAATCTGAAGCGCCATGGTATGATGCGCTGGCGGCTGAACAATGAATAATGGCGGGAACGGCAGCTTTTCATGAGCATAAGCTGCATGTCTGCAAGTTTGGTCCGGTGTTGATTTCTTTGCAGCACTCGCGTTACAGTGGTGCAATCAGGCTCGTTCCGTTTAGAATTTTCAAGGTATGCAGCGGCTGTGGTTGGGCGGCTCCTGCACCCTCTGAGCAGCGCTTCGGCCGCTGGGCGTCAACAGCGTCATGAACGAGACACTTTTCACGAGGCTGGGCCGAGGGGTTCTGCGCAGATTTTTGCTTTCGGGAGCAGTGTCGGAGTCAGATCGAGGGACAAGGCCGTCTTTGCCCTGCCGGCATGATGGCATGACATCGCAGCTTAGGATGCTTCGCTTCCGGCTAATCCTCTAAGCCCGAAGAACCTGACTGGGATAATGTTACTTTTCTGTTCTTGACACCAGGGGATGTGCGGGCCGTTCCTTGACATCTCCATGCTTGCACGAAAGTTAATTTCGAACGCTTGTATAGTTACACATAGCATATCATGTGTCGTCGCAGTTTTCGCAGAGCGAGATGGACAACTATGCATGCCGATTGGCGCTGTTTACTGCTTGCTTGGTCGATTTCTTGGGGCGGTTCATGTGTTGATTGGTTTGTGGACTGTGCCCGTTATTTGAGCAACGCCTCCTAGTTGTCTGCAGGCTGGTTGGTTTGTTGTCGGCTTGAGTTCTGATCGGGGTTCGCTGGACGGAGGGGACGGGACGGTGGGGATGGGACGGAGGAGACGGTTCGGAGAGGATGGGACGGAGGGGGCGGGACGGAGGGGGCGGGACGGGAGGGAAGGGCGGAGGGGATGGGACGGAGGGGACGGGACGGAAGGGACGGGATGGAGGGGACGGGACGGTGGGGATGGGATGCAGGAGACGGTACGGAGAGGATGGCAGCATCAGTCTTTTTCAGTTTTTGCAGTGGCATTTTGCGTAGGTGTGGCCACTTCGAAGGACCTCGAGTGTTATTCTGGCTGTTACCGCTTTTGAGAGCAGAGAAACAGACAAGTCGGTAAAGCCATTCGGATGGTCCAAAGGAAGCTTTAGGACTTGACGGTTCTTATGTCCGAGTCGGCCTGAACTTTCCTGTGGCAGGCTTGCGCGTCAGAGGACTGATGTGCAGATCCCTGCTCGGCCCTCCCGAAACCAAAAAAGCAGTTCGCTTCAGGAGCTGCTGTCCGAGCTTGGCGCGCGGCTTGGTGACTGGATCTTAGTGTCGCCACGGCCAAAGTCCTTCGCTTCACACGATCCCTGTTGGCTTCGGCTGGTGGCTTCGTCAGAAGTTCTTCTTTGTCCGCCTCCGGTTTGGCGGAAACGAAGGGATCTGCCGTTGATACATTTGCCAGCACAGATCATTGAACTCTTGGGTTCGACCCCAGGTCGTAGTGAAGTGTCTGTCGCGTTTCGAGAAGGCTTGGCGCCCACCGAGTGTTCTCGACTGGTGGTCTCTTCCGTGCCATCCTTCTTGGGCCAGGAAACTGCCATGATGCGTTTTCGCAGCGAAGCTGCCTTGCGAAGCTTCTTTCATGTGCCTCGAATACTGAAGCGAGGCGAGGTCTTCAGTGTTCCCGCTGATGGCTTGCCAGATGTTCTCTGCGAAGTGGAAGTTCCAGCAGATCCGACGAAAAGGCCCAGGCCACAGCGCATGCCTCCCGGCGAGGAGGGCGACGATGTGTACGAGATGGCGGCTTGTTCTGGTCGATCTAGAAGGTTCTTGATAGACCCCTTGCATGGCACCGCGTTTTGCGACCTTCTCAGCTTCAAGGTGGAGGTTGTCGAAGGCCGAGAAAGTCAGAGCACAACTGTCCAGGTCGACAGCCGGTCTGCCCAGATCTTGCTGAAAGGGCAAAGTCAGGCACGTGGCCTGCCATACTGCCGCTGTCATTTGTTTTGCCAGGCCCCGCCCCAGCCCCTGCCATCACTGCAAGGCCCAGCGGAACGTTTGCTTGGGATGCTGGCACCGTGCGTGCGTGGATGGGAGCTCGGTGCCAGCTCAGACATGCCATCGGTTCTGGTTTCTGGACCACGTGGATGCGGCAAACGGGTCCTCTGGCACAGCGTGTGTGAACGGCTTGGGTTACACTTATTCGAGATGAATTGCACTGCTCTTGCAGCAGAGGGTCTGGGCTCACTCGAGGCCAGGCTTTCAGAAGCTTTGGCTCAGGCGACAGGGGTGTCGCCGTGCGTTTTGTGCTTGCGCAGGTTGCACGCCCTGTCTAGCTCGGGGGCGACAATGTCTCCTGCTGCGACCTTGCTTCAGCAGCGTCGCATTGACGATTTCCTGCAAAGTGCCCTGCTAAAGGCTCGCACAAGTCCTGCGGCGGGCGGTAAAAGTCCGTTAGTGCTGCTGGCTGGGTCTTGTGAGAGCTTGGATGATCTCGGGGGACCCATTCGGCAGAGCTTCAGTCAAGAGTTGGCCGTGCCTCGGCCAAACGAGGTGGCACGCAAGTTTGCCATTTCGGAGTTGCTGAAGCGAGTGGACACCACACCAAACTCCGTCGCGGTCATGAACGGAATGTCTGATTCTAGCGAGAAGAACACCGAACCAACGGTCATCGCAGCCATGACAAAGCTGACAGCCGGCTTGTCTTACAGTGATTTGCGGTCCGTATGTGCCGAGTTGGCGATGAAGAAGTCAACCCTGAGCCTAGAAGCAACGGCGACGGCCAGCTCTGAGGTCCAACAAGCTGTGGAGCAGGCTGTTAAGCGGTTGCAAGGAGGCTCAAAGGTTGCAGTGACTCTGGCTTCCAAGATACAGTGGGCCGATGTTGGTGGTTTGCAAGATGCAAAGGAGGAGATCATGAATTGCATCACACTGCCGCTGTCCCAGGGACAAATGTTCGAAGGTCAGAAGGTTCGAAGCGGTGTTCTGCTTTTCGGACCTCCAGGTACTGGCAAGACCTTGTTGGCAAAGGCAGTTGCAACGGAGTGCAAGGTTCACTTCTTGTCTGTCAAGGGGCCCGAACTACTGTCCATGTACATCGGTGAAAGTGAGAAGAATGTCAGGTCCTTGTTTCAAAGTGCAAGAGACTTGGCCCCTTGCGTCTTGTTCTTCGACGAGCTCGACTCCTTGGCTCCTGCACGTGGTCGTGGAAGCGATTCTGGTGGAGTCATGGACCGGGTGGTGTCGCAGTTAGTGACGGAGCTAGATACCATGCCGTCCACAGTCTTCATGGTCGGAGCTACCAACAGACCGGACTTGCTGGATCGGTCGCTGTTGCGTCCGGGACGTTTGGACCGGATGGTGTACCTAGGTGTCGCAGCTGACAAACTCCCCCTGCTGTCTGCCATCACACGGAAGTTTGTGCTGGAAGCAGCCACCCCGGCGAACGGGGCTAAACGTGCATCGAATCTCCTTGCAGCAGTTGCGGAGGCTTGGCCTCCAAACCTCACCGGCGCAGATGTTTCTGTCTTATGTGCCGATGCGTACGGAATCGCACAGCGTGAGCACATCTCCAAACTCCACGAAGCTGCTGATTTGCTGCAGACTCCGATCAGCACTTTCTTGCTTTTTCTGGATGCATTGGAGCTTCATCTCACCGGGGCTTTGCCCGGCCCTCGCACTTACGACGCCTTTTGGAAGCTGAGCGCATCACATGGGATCGCGCTGGTGCAGCTGTGGCTTGGCAATGATGGTGTCCCGGTTCGAGGGTGTTTTGTGACGTGGACGTGGAGTCTCATGTCGAGCAGGTTCCCGGCTGTGTCAGACGAGGCCTTTCGATTTTTTTGCAGCATTCCGGTTAGGCATTTACGCCTACTAGGCTATATCGCTTCTGTTGCCAGGCAGAGCCCCAACGTGCATCGGCCTTGCAGTTGTACGGTGCAGAGGCTCAGGCAAGTGTAGCACGCAGCTGGTCAATGTCACACTGCAGAGCCTTGCAGGAATCCTTCGTTATTGCGCATGTCTCTGGTAGCCCTGGACCTGGACGAGGCTCGGTGCCCCAACGACGTTCAATACTCCCGGCACTCATGCTTCTGCGTTTTGGCCAAGGTTTTGCCATTGCCTGCTGCTCCGAAGAAAATTTCGACGACCTGTCTCGCCGCACTCTGGCATCGTTAAGAGATCTCATTACATGCTCTCGAGCTGCTCTGCTTCCCTGACGTCAGGATGGCTCTCCCACGCTCGTCCGCAGGGAAGCGATGCCTCAACATTGAAGATGTTGTGAATTGCTAAGCTATGGGAGTCCGCACATGGTGCGATTAAAATGTAGAGCCTGCATGACGGCTGGACCAGGTCTGGTTTCGACTTGCTGCATCCGCTGCAAGTCCGGGTGGGATTAAGGCGGACCGCGCAAGGGTTGCGGTTACCCCGAATAAGAGTGATTATGGAGTCTTGGGAGGCACTTCCAGCAGGCGCTTTCGAACCTTCAACCTTCCGTGCCCTTGGAAGAGCCTTGACTCGCCGGGAATGTTCCGAACTGTGATTTGAGCTGTGTTTGGCTTGCGCGCCCAGGACCTGCAGCGCTACGAGCAGCTGCGGGCAGAGTATCAGAACACCAAGGGCTGAGAGTGGCGCCGTTCTCCTGACCATGCAACGCGCGAGGAAAAAGGAGGCCGAAATCGATTTGGAGAGCCATGCAAGAAGCCAAGGCCGAGTTCGAAGCCCGGTGAAGTCGTCGATAATGAGCTTCTAGAAGCCCTGCCCTGAGTAGGCCTTCACAGGCCTTTAGAGCTTCCAGCACCAGCAGCCACGACCTGATCCGAGGCAGAGGCGACCGAGGCGAAAGCTCGGAGATTCGCAGGCGGATGGGGGTGAAGCGGGGAAGCTCCGGGAAGCTCCGGAAGCACCGAATCTTGATTCTGAATTCAGGGCTTACCTGGGACGTCGGTGGCGTTCCTCCTCCAGACTTTGTTATTGAACCGGACGAGCCTGGGCGCCTGGGCAATGCGATGTGTTGCTAAGTTGCTGTGCACATTGATTGATGCTCTAGAGGGGTCTTCGTTCCATGTAAGGTCGGGCGCGCTCTGTCGTGCACAGCTGTCTGTTTTCAGCAAAGGCATCAAGGACGTCTCTGCCAGTACCTCTACCAGCCGTGTCTCTCTCTCTCTCTCTCTCTCTCTCTCTCTCTCTCTCTCTCTCGCTCTTTCTCGCGCGCTCTAGCAGTCTGCTCGAAACTCTTCTCTGTGAGAGCCGTTGGTGGCTCGAACCTAAGACTCGTCTGTCAAGTGCAGCATTCGCTGGAATGAATTTTCAGGTGGCCGCCACCAGGGATCAGCAATGTGGCAGTGCACGGAAGCGTCAGAGACCTGCCCTGATGTGCAGGTCGAGCGCTCGCAAGATGAAAGTTCAGGCCAGGAAGCAGAGGCAGAGAAAAAATGAAAAAAGTGCCAAGCCAGAGCATCGACTGCTGAAGGCCCAGTGCACCCTTGTATTGCCATCTGCGTGGGCATGCTCCTGATTGTCATCGGTCCATTCGCCGCTTGTCTGGGCTTTCGTGCTTATTTTTCAGGTATGTACGTGGAGTTTCTTTTCTTGCTGTACTTCAACCCGTTGTCATCTTGGAGCATCAGTTCATCTGGCACACGGAGGGCGACTATGTCAAGATTCTGCAGGCACGCAGACAATGCATGCTGACACTGATATTCGAGGAATATCAAATTCAGTACCAGAAGTGTCTTCAGAATGAATGCGGTTCAGGTGGCCTGTAGGCTTAGGGAGGTGGCTCTGGAATTGGAGTAAATTTGAACGGACATCACCTCTTGTCCAGGTGCTGGATGAAGCAACGAAGGCACAGTCTCAGCAGATGGCTCTGCAGGAACAGTCATGTTCCAGAAGTAGTGCTGTTGGCAGGGTGCAAAAGAGCCATGCTCTGCTATGTCACCTGCTTGGCCTGCTTGTGTTTCTCTTGGCTTGGCATGCCACGAGCGATTCCGCTGTATGCAGCCGAGGTGCACAAAGTGCGATTTTTCCACAGTGAAAGATGGAGATCTAGCCGCCCATCTTGTCAGTCGATGCCGAATCTTTTTTTGTATTGCGAGGTGGGGAATGTCACTCAGAGCGTATTGCCCACGTGTACTGTGAACAAGATCTCGGAGTTGTGCCACCCTCGCTTAGATCTATTTGGCCTGCCCCTTCCACAACTTGAAGACCTTGACGGAGGTTCGAAAGGCCCGCGCAGGGTGACACTGGATCCATGGGCAGCACGTGAAGATCAATGCTCGAGAGCCTGTGATCTTCGAATTGCGAGGGTAGGGCCCCTTGGCCCATTTTGTTCCTGATGAAGTGCTGCTGCCGAGCTATCGTAACAGGAGCACGGATTCAACATCAAGGAATTGGAGCCAGCAGTTTCCGGGCAAGAAGCTGCTGCAGCCTACAGCTGGCTCCTTGACAGCATGTATGAACATGCCACAGGGCCGCTGTCGTTTTGCGGGCACTGGCGCAGCATTCATGACTAGGAGAGGTCTCAGTAACATTCCTGAGACACGGCATCTCCTAATTCCAGTGGATCGTTCGTGGCGCCGCGTGCAGTGGACACAGTAGTTATCCTGGATGCATGATACCCGTGCTGGCATACGATTTGGAGCCGAGGACGGTCGAAATGTTCCAGTTCGAGCAAGATGTAGACACCTCGCAGTCTGTCACGCTGAAAGCGCACGAATGCACGGCTGCTTTTATCGGAATCGTCACAGGAGAGGCACAAAGCGGGAGCGAGTTGCATTTGTGAGATTCGCAGAAACTGCTGCAGCAATAACTTGGCGGGTTGGTTTCGGATGATAGTTTACGTGCAACCTGCGTCAAACCGACACTTGCCAGGCCAAGAGACACGCGTGTTGCGACTCGGCGAATTCACCTGGTCGTAGAAAGCCGCTTGGACCACTCAGATGCTCCCCACGGACAGTTGGAGCGACAGTCTATGGAATCTCTGGACTCTGGCTTCTCTTAGGTTTGAGCAGCTGTACGTTGGGCGAACAAACGACGCCAGCTGCCACCCGGCCAGAAAACGGACACACGCCGAGAGCTTCCTCCAGGTGCCTTGGACGTGAAACAAAGCCAAGGGTTCAAGAGACGTGTAGCGGCGTAGCGAAGCGGAGGATTCGCTTTTTGGAGCCAGAAAGTTTGGGTGGGGTGTTGCTGCCATACAGATGCTTGGGCAGTATCTCAAGCTCATCCCGCTTCAGAAGTTTGAAGTAGAGAGGAAGAACTTCCAGCCTTATCAAGTTTCAGGAGATCGACGATATGGGGCTTCAGTTGGAGAATTCAACAGAGGCCAGCTCCACACAAGATTTCATGACTTTTGAGACCTGGCACGGTTCTGTCTTCCAGGGCTGTGGCTCACCAATATGCCAGCCAGATAAAGACTCGTTTTGCCCTGCTACTCTGCCAGGATATACTTCCAGAGCTTGACAAGCGAGCCCTGTGCTGAAGATAGTGCTCGGGCCGTGGCGTCGGGGCCATGCGGCTTACTGAACGACTGCTTTCGTTGGAGTTGCTAAGGACGGAGATTGCGAAGGGATGATGACAAGCCGGCAGAACCTGACATCCACTGCCACCCGGATGATTACATGCTCTACGGCATATGGTACGATGTCCATCACGAACATGTTAGTGACAGTTTTTTTTTGGCAGGGGAGCTGGTGAGAGTCGCAAAACAGGTTCGTACCCCTGCAAACACTGGACCGGCAGATGGTCTGTTAGAGAGTTCCCGGTGAAGCCATCAGTCGCCCGGAAGCAGTGCTTGACGGACCGCAGACGGGGAAAGCACGCATCACGTGGTGCTTTTCCTTTGCAGTCGGAGGAACCATTGCCGAAATTGAAAGCAAAGTGAACTGACACATTGCCTCAGCTGCTTGCATTCGCTGACAATCTCATGACATCCCGACAAGAAAGGCTTGGACCTGGTTGCCCTACGACCTCTCGCAGATGGATGAGGTGCGTTGCTAATCCCTTCTCTGGTAGTTTTCGCGGTCCACAAGTGCAGGTTCAATGGATTGAGGGTGCACCTGCCGGAAACATCCCGAGACTGCCATTCGAAGGAGCATACAGCAACCCGGAGAATTGTAGAGGAATTCAGAAGATAGTGGAACTACCACTAACAAATGCCCACCAACCTCGCATGCCTCATCCTGGTCTTGCGTAATGCCCTCTTGAGTGTCCACCTGAAGCCACACGGAGTTGTTGCAGGTTGGGGGTGGGTTCGTTCTGAGGGTCTGAAGACCTCTAGCCACGGTTAGAAGGCATGCAAATAGAGATACCGTTCTGGTTCTGGACGCACAAAAAGTGTGCACAAGAGATCCCAGGCAACGTCAAGGGCGAGCCGGGTGGTGTGACCCTGGGCGGTGTCACGCTGCAACTCTTCAAGCCCGAGCCAGCAGATGACCTTTTTCGAACGATGCTTGGCGGCACGCCCTCTCTTGCACTTCGCGCCGTTGGACTATCCGTTGCCGAATCAGCTCGCGACTGCTGAAGCTGTTGTTCCCTTGAACGAAGGACCTCTACTGCCAAACTGGACCGGGCAGGAGGCATTGGACCCGGTTGCTGTCTCGCACCACTGTTGTGGTAGAGCAATCTGCAGTAGTTCTAGTTACGATTCTAGTTATCCAAAACCATATCCGTGCTTCCTGATGGCGCGAGCTTCTGGCGTCTTGAGTGTGCAATTCTTGGACCTCTTCACGTGCATGCTGCTGCTGGGCAAAACTGACATGGAAGAGAAAAGAAATATTCCCTTAGCGGCTTAGCGATGCGTAGCGCCGCCTCATGCCTATAGAAGGGGTTCACCAAAGTTCCGAGCCGCCAGGGCTTGCTGGTGTCTGTTTCGAGGTGATGCTGGGCTGCAGGCGCTAGTCAAGGATCCGATTCAGTCTACCTTCGAGACACAATACAAGATTGAGTACAAGGGCTACCGTCGAGCGGCCAAGTGGACATCCAGAGAGGCCTCTTACAGCCAATCAGATACCTGCCTAGCGACCTGCTGGGTTTGAGCAAGCTTTCTAAACATGGCTTTTCGTGTCATTCGAGACTTTCCGGACGACTCTTGCCGGGCCGACCTAGGTGTCCAGCCCTATGGCGACGAGCTCTCAGAACAAGCCGCAGGGAGGGGACTTGCGGATCTGTTTCAAGCGACTCCTGGCAACGATGAGGCAACGCGAAGGCAGTCTTTGAAGGTGCCATGCTTTGAAAAGATGACCTCGACCCTGTCTCCGACGTGTGCTGCAAAGGATCGGCTACCAGCAAGGTCTCGGTTCTGGCAGGAGTTAAGAAAGATGGGAACAGCGCCCTGGACACCAAGAGGGCGAGTTGGTGCGCAGACCACGTTGTACCGGGGATGTGGTGAAATTACGGTGGTTGAAAGGCGAAGCCTCGCAGCTGATGCCATGCTCCTCCAAGGTTTCTCTCTGATAGTCTCGGACACGCACTTGAGGGCAAAGACAGGGATGCGGTCCAACAAGCAAGGATACCGCCTGCGCCAGGACCGCAGGATGCTGCTGTGCGCAACCAAGCAGAAGCCGGAGCGTTGCGGAGAGTCTTTCAGGACCAGATCCTATCTTTGGCCGAGTTGGTTAATGAGGAGAAGAAATTTAATGAGATGCTGGGCTGAATTTGGACCATGGCAGTTTTTGCAGTTGGGCCAGCCCTGGAAGCGCTTGCCCTCTTCCAAGGAATTGGCTATATTTTGGAAGAATTGTTGGTCCTTTGATTCTCTGGGCTGCTTTTTATTGATTCTCTGGTGCAGACAGCGAATCCATTTAATTTGTGTCGCATCATTGGAATGTGCCGAGGTTTCCTTTCTCCGCTGATATGGGTGGTTGACCAGTGTCGTAGCTGCATGCCAGCCCGTCCAACTGCAAGGGGAAGTGCAGATAAACGGCTAGCCTCTGTGCTGCTGCCCAGGTTCGGAGACACACTCAAAGGCATCCCCTGCATCGGAGGGCTGCTGGGTTTCCTTGCAGACTTCGTGGAAACGTGACTCGACCAGAGTTTCCAGTCCCAGGCTAGAAGTGTGCTTGTTGAAAGAGCCATGGCAGAAAGCAGTGAGGCTGGTTACCTGCCTGGTGTGCATGGTCAGCTGTTCTCTGGGCGTTGCCTGCGGACTGTTGGGCATGGCAATGGCCTGGCTCTTTTTCAGGCCGCAGAAATGGCGAAATTGAAGGAGCAAGCTTAGACCAAACTTCTGTGCCAGCAGCAAGACGACAAGACCAACATGATTCTTCCGTTGCAGGCCAGAACGCGGAATCGTGCTTCTGTCCATCTCCTTGTGCCTGTTTGCGGCTGTCTTCGCTTTCAGCAACAACCAGAAGGGTCAGAAATCAGCGCCCCGCTTGCACGCCACAGGCACAGTTGATTGATTATCGTTTACATCGCACGAGCTGCAGGTACGACGGAGGAGCGCGAGACAACCTGGCATCGGCATGCAGTCAGTGGAGCAGCTTGCCTGTGGCCAGCTGTGACCAGCATAGTTACCCCTCGGGTGTCCTTGAGGAGGTTCGTCACGGAAGCTAGCTCTGCAACTCTACAGGATTCGGCTTTCGCCCTCCTTTCCTTTCCCAGGCCTCTGTTTCCAATACCGTTTCTAGCTTCATTGCTATCGCTGCTGCTACCGAAGTTGCTACTGCCACTGGTGCTGCTATTGCTGTTGTTTCCGCGGCGGTTGGCCCTCTCCTGCTTCTTCACTGCGGTTAACCAGTGTGGTTTTGCTACTGGTTCGGCGTGCCGTAGGACCTTGAAATGTACTTTATTTAAATTTACTATCAGATCTCCAACAGTCCAAAGCCAGCCCCAAGCTAAAGCGGAGCTGGACTCAAAAACCTACAGTTCAACTGTTCGACATCCATCTTATCGTAGACCCCTGCCCCTCCTATCTGCAGATGAGAGGCAGGGCCTCTGAGACATCGGGTAATTAACACCTTTAGATCTCGCGCCCCTGGTACCCTCCTTCCTCCTCCGAGTCCTCCTTGTACGCCCTTCTCCTCCTGTGCTGCTCCTAGAGCCGCTGCTGTTCTGCTGCCACTTCTCGATGCTCCTTAATGCTGCTGTTGCTAGTCGTCTTTGGCAATGCCCCGCGCCCCTCGCCGATGTGCCAGAGTCTTACATAGCTTTCGGTGAGTACCGCTCGGGCACAACGAGGACAGGCTACTGAACATGCAGGGTTCGGAGATGCAGCCTGACGGGTGTTACTGTACCAGCAGCAACGACCCCAAGAGCCAAAAAGATTCTCTGCCTTCGTAGCCACCTCTCGATTTGATTCTTGTACCGGCCCGGCTTCCCTTGCCGACTCAGTGCATCCCCTGCATCACAAACCGCACTTCCTCCGAGGATGAATGCTACTCCCGTGACTCGGATCCAGAAGCGTGGCCACTTTATGCTGCTGGAGATTGACCCTGTCACAGCCTCGAGGTACAGCCTGCGGCTTTTGCCCAAGCAGCTGTGATGCCAACTGCAGTGGTCCAGCCGGCAGCAACTTGACTTTCGCCTCACACAGAGCAGTCCACGAAGGACAGGCGCATGTAGCCATCGCCACTCGCGAGGTTCAGAATGCAATGCACGCTTTTCACTCACTGATTCGAAGCACTAGAACCAGGATTCTCTCAATCTTCCAGAAGAGATGCAGTTCGCCTGGCAAGCCTGAGGTAGTCACTCCAGCCGCTTTTCAAGTGCAGTGTCCCGCTGGCGTAGGCCCAGGCCTGCTGGAACAGTCTGTGGTGTCGTTGGTGCCGTGGTAAGTACCAGCCTTGAGACGGGGGAAGCCGTAGCAGAGACAGTAGAAACGAAAGAACAACGTACCTACACCACCGCCAGGGCGACAATCGACGACAACCACCGCGACAGCTACTGCTGCTGTTGCTGCTCCTCCCTCCTCTCATCATGCTCTTAGTACTAGTATTAGTATTAGTACGGCGACGATGACGACGACGCCGCCTACCACTACGACGACAACTACCACGGCGACGACGACCACGACGGACCACGACGACGGCGGCGGCGACAACGGCGTCGACGACGACGACGCCACCTACGCCGACGACTTCGACGACAACCACGGCGACGACGACTACTGCTGCGACTAGTAGCGGCTACTACTGCTACTGCTGCCACTGCGACGACGACGACTACTAGCAGAAAGGGGACCAGGAAACCTAAGTAAGCAGTACTGTTTTGCGGCATCGTCATGAGCGTGAGTATAGTGCAACATGGTAAACTGAGGACCGAGCCGGAATCAACCAAAAATAACCCTGTGGCAGGTACGTCTGTTATGGTGACTACCCCAGATGGACGACAAGTCACGGTGCAGATCCCTGCCGGAGTTGTCGCTACCCTGCATTGTCTTGTCAAACGTCTGCTGCAGTGCTGTGTTCTGCCAATGGTTCAACTTTCCAACAGAGGCTCCCGGCCAGATGTTCCAGGTCCAGGCGGAAGCATGTCGTGATATGTCGTGGCTTTGCCGATGTTCTCAATTTCCCAACCGAATCCTGAAACAGTGTCCTGGGCACAGCTTGCCCGGCTCATGCAACTTGTTCGCATCTTTGAGAAGGGTCTCCTTGTCAGGCTTGACGGTTGGCCGTCCCAACTGAGCGGCCGTCTGTCGGCGTTTCACATGCGAAAGCTTTTTCTGCTGCGGCTTCCAACGAGAGCACGCAGAGCAGAAAGGCACGCTGTACGTTTCCTACTGCATCAATCAATGCCCGGAAAGGTATCCAGCAGTGTGTTTCGTACCATAGCCGTTCAAACGTAAGATGCCCTGCCCGCCGTGCCTTCGTTGCACCATCTTGGCCTGTTTTGGAGGAGTATGAGTACCTGAAGGAGGCCCGGCTCTACGCTCCATGGCTCGATGCTGAGTTGGCCGACAGCACGGCGCAATGCCAAATGTCACAAGCTGTGCCAGCTGCCAGCTCGAGGCGCAGCAGCGTGCTCGAAGCACGAAAGGATGGATGCGAGCTCAGGTGGGATCTGGTTTGCAGAGTTGGGCGGGGCCTTTATGAATTTCCGCTTGCAGGCGTGCAGCCTTTCGCTTCGCTAGATCAGACCCGCTGCTCTCGGAGGCCTGCCCGATTCGTTGGGTTTTATGCTGGCCGTCTGCTGATCATGCAAGCCCTTTTCTCGAGCCTTTCTTTGGTGAGCCACTTGGAATTTCCGGCATTTTGACTGTTGCAGTTGAGTTGGATGCAGGTTCGACGGAAATGCTTCGAGCGCATGCCTCAGCAGAACTGGATGTGTGATCATGCGCATGCCCGCAATGTCTTTCGTTTACCCATCGGCTTGGCCACAGTCCAGGCTGGAAAACAAGCAGTGGAATTTGGCAGAGCTGGCTTCCGACAGGGATTGCGAGGTGCTGCATGGCCAGATTTCGTATCAGCAAGTGACCGCCCGTGTCTGCCTGCCAAGCTCGCTAATGCTAGTAGGTTGCAGCGGTTCGCATACTGCTTTGTGGGTCTCTACCTTCCTATAAACCGTGGCACTACAGAAGTGAAGTCATCAGGATACAGTGGCACGTGGTCATGCTCACTCATGTCTATCATGTATGTTGTGACGCCGCAGCCTGGCCTCGCCGTTGTCTTGTCGTCGGCTCAAGTCCCTTCGGAACCGTGAGGACTCGAAAGTCGAGATGCCTCGATAGCCCAATGGAAGACGAGAGCCAGGTTTTCAAGCCTCATGATCGCTCGGCCTTTGCCTTGGCTTGGCATTCGAGAGATTGCTTGCAGGGCCCGGACTGCAAAGGTGTCTCGTGGGACGCACCCGATCTTGTCTGCGCCAGTGTGCCCGGTTCCAGAGCCGGACAGGTTCCCGGCATAGCTTTCCAGGATTTCCGATGCGATGTTTGTGACGTATCATGCCAGGTTAGCAACCCGAACTCCAGCACCCTTGGGCGACGTCGCCGATGATGATGAGAGGTGCCAAGCTCAGCCTCTGCTTACTTGCAGCATCCTTCTCTTCTGCAGTTGCATGTGGAGTTGTGCATATGGTGGGCGAGTCGTATGAAGTTGTCAACTCATTGCTGAGTGGAAAGGCCAGTCCCACCGCAGGCCAGAGCTTTCGTGAGCAGCTGCTCTTTGCTAGCCAGTTGTTTCATTTTGCCAAAGCACTTGCTGCATCGATTGCTTCGCTGACGAGTGCTTCCCCCTGCTTGCGAGGCCAGCAGGCTGGACACGGCCTTGCTGCAGCTTGCTGCCGGCACCCCAGAGCGGGCTTGGCACCACTTGCATGCTGACACAAACGCATGCACACACACGCACCCTCACACACGGGAACCATTGTCATGCTGTACAAGACCGGCAGGCTGCTCATGCAGAGCAAGTCCGTGAGTTGCAGCAAAGCTTCGAGGCTAGTGCGGCATACTGCGCTAGGGTGATTTTCATTTTCGGATGGATGCATCCTTCGTTGCACGGGCATACTGGCACATCTTAGTGAAGGATGTTGAGCACCACAATTCAAGATGGCTAGCTTTTGCCAATGGGAGGCAGCAGTGCAGAGACTGGAGGCAGAGGCCGGACGTGTCTATGCGTTCGGCGATTCAACCGGAAGTGATGTTCACAGTCATGAGTCATGCCAAAGTCCGCAGGCCAGCAGCCAGCTGGGGAACAAGTTGAAACATGGAGAAGATGCCTTGTATTTTGTGGTGCATTGAAAACCTCAATACATACCCACCGGTGAACACACGCACACACACTCACAAGCCGACCTGTCTGGTAACCTATCCCATATCTATCGATCCATGATTTATCTATCCGGTTACTATCCATCTATCTGTTTTCGCGTCTTTTTGTTGGGCCTTGCGCCCCCGTTGTGTATGTATGTGTACGTACGTATGCATTTTTATTATACTATATACATTGATTATCATTTGTAATATATTACATTATAATTTATTGCATTAACTTTATTTCAATTCTACTAAAATTTCCGAGTATGTATTGCAATATAGAATACATCATGGTTATGTTCTATTCTATTATATTATATCGTAGTACATTGTATCATATTATATATCATATTATTTCACATTATATGGCATTGTATCATATTATACCGTATCATTTCATACCATGCCATGTCATATTATGATACCTTATATTCTACATTATGCTTCATTTATTATAGTTTTCATTATACCATGCTATGTTAGATTAAATTCATAATATACTGTATTGTATCATGCTATGGTATGCGGTGTTATTCTATGTTATGTTATGTTGATTTAATGTTATATTGTCCTATATATTGTTATATTATACTATACCGTATTATTTTTTGTATTATGTTTTGCCACATGACTATTGTGAAACTATACTTCATTGCAGTATTCTAAAATGTATCAAAGGTTTTTATATTTTTACATATTATGTTGTTCGTTAATATTACATGTTTGTTTTATATTATGTCATAGTATTTCCTAGTATGTTACATATGCACAGGTGCAAACTTGTATGTACACAGGCCTGAGTGAGAACAAACTCGTATTCGTACTGACGGCTGTTTGGAATAATGTGGCTTGCAATGAAAAGGCGAGTTTCATTTAATTGTATGGCATATGTGCAATACAAAGCTGCAAGGTCTTACAACAGTTCATGGCAACTAGCACGTGTGTTATGCGAAGAGCACATGTGTTGCATCATGGTGTCAGACAATCAGAGCCTGGGGTGTGCATCCAGACCGCCTGATTATTTCGGATTCTGCCAGCTCGGTACTAGTTGACATCAGATTTTCCTGCTTTCGTCGGGCAGATTTTCTACGCAGGTCTGCATTAAATATATGTGCATGGCATTGCCTGCCACACATGGTGGAGGCTCGGCAGAGCCAAGCTCGTCCGAGTCCAGAGGCCTGACGGAAGACAGTGCTATCGAACCATCCATGGCATCACACTGCCTGCCTGCAAGGCTCTCCATCCGCTGACCGAGAACGGACAAGAAGCCGGCAACACCCCCAGTGAGTTTCTCGAGCTTTCCTGCCTGAGTTGTCTGTCTAGGTCCACCTCCGGCTGAAAGTGGACCAGAAACGGGACAGGAAGAGGAGCCGGTCAGAGTGTGCAAGGGCTCAGTCGGCTCCATTCTTAAGAAGCCGCGGACACCGGTGCCTGGCTTATGCTTGCTCGCGGCGGCTTCTTTGAATTAGCCCGACCTGCTGTGCACCCGTGAGGTAACTCCAAAACGGCTTCCAAAGCAAAGGTGCGAATGAGTCACCGACTTGGCTCGCATCATGTTGCGGCATGAAACCCAATCGAAACTTGCAATGGTTGGGGTAGTTGCTGTGATGTGTCGCACTGAAGTGAAGGTACGGCTATCTCGCGAGTTCTGAAAGGTCCACAGGAAGGGAAGCAGCAGACGTCACAGACCCTAAGGCCGGGTTTCCGTGGATACGGTGATATCGGGTTTGGTGTGATACTGTGTGGCCTGCCCACTTGTTTTCAGGTTGCGGAAGCAGCTGAATCAGGTGGAGCGGGGCTTGTAACATCTCGCAAGTTTCGGAAAGAACCGTTTGGACGCCCATGTTTCTCCGATCCTGCCAGAAAACATTTGCTGCTGACCACTACACGGCCGACGAGGCCAGCGGCATGTTGCAACTTCCCGCCCTGCCGCACGCTCAAGACATGTTTCTCCGTGCAGGACCCCGAAAGAGAGCCAGCATGGTTCGATCGGCAGCGGCTAGTTGTGGTGGCACCAGCCCCGGACGATGCGCAGTGCTGCGTTGATTGCCGAGTTCGATGTCCGCAGGGCAACTAAAGTAAATCCAGAAAGGGCCATGAGCCATTAAAGGACCGCAACAAAGGGCGATAGTGGAAACGTGTCTTTTGCGGCCCCCTAAGCAGGCCACGAAAGCAAGGTCTATCAACGCCGTTTCATGGGGCCCGGCATCGCGACAATCGTTTTTCTTAGATGTGACATTTCCCGATCCGTGACATTTGCCGGCCTCTGGATGACTCTGGCTGTTGAAGTGTTCGGGCATATTCCGATCCTTGGGTCGGAGTTGTTCTTCATGCCTGCATTTCGGATTCCGTCAGAGAGGGCGGCCGGTCCGAAAGTCCGCCGTGACACCTAGTTTTCATTCGCCGTTTTTTTCCCGAGAGCCACATCTGCACCAAAGTTCCAAGCTTTAGGTTGGCGCAGAACCTTTGCATCCACCTTTTGGATTCGGTGTGCGCCTGAGGTGACGCATCCTCTCTTTGACGCTTTGACTGCCTTGGTCATTCTGCTGAATGCGGCGAGCATCGGCGCTGAAACGTGGCATGCTGCATTCAGCCGACCTAGTAACCTAGTAGGTTTTGTGGTGAATGTAGGCGCAGCCGACCTGCAGGCAATATGCAGCTATGGATGTGCAGCTGCCTGCTGGCCCCTCCACTTCATTCCTTGCAGGGCCTTCGGCTTCGGTGAGACTGGTTTTGCGCTGAGGTGTAGAGCTGGTGAGCCAGCTTTGCACCGCCTATTTCATTGTTGCACCTCGCCATGCCATTGGACCGGAATCTCGTGAGTACATGGTCGCACCAGAAGGTGCTGGCTTCTACCTGCTTCTGCATTTCCTTTTTGGCGGCTCTGAACGGCTAAGGAGCTGACTTTGCGGATCGGGGCGCACCAGGCCCCGCTCCTGCCCCCATCTGGCACCTTCCTGGCTTCCTTCTGTGCCAGCTGCATGTTCTCACCGCGTGTCCGGGCAGGCCAGCTGGTTTACCGATTTGGATATGCGATTATGGTAACCGTGCTGCAGTCGAGTCAGCTAGGTTTGCCAGCCGGTGGCTCCCCGTTTGTTCTAGGAACCCCTCTGTCAGTGAGGAAGCGCGAGTGCATGTTTCGATGGGGATCCGAGGAATTTCTTCGACCTCGTGCTGGTCGCCATGTCACTCCTTGACATTGTTGTTGTGAGACGCTTGCCGAAGGGATGGCTTTGGGTGTGCCTTGTGCGCGTTTGCACGACCCTGCCACAAGGAGCCATGGGCGCCGGCGCTAACGGTTTCGACACGGTGAAGATGTTGAAGACCCTCCGAATTATCCGAATCTGGGTAATTACGAGTGGTTGTGAAAATCTGTCCCGGTGCGAGCCGTCTCCTTTCCGGTCACGCTGCTCGTGCCAAGGAGTCTTCAGAGTATTTCGCTTCTTTCGACAGCTAACGCAGCTGGCCCTGATGATCACCGCTGCTTGACTGAGGGTCGGACACGCGCAGTTTGTTCTTCCCACCAGGCATGTGGAGTGAAACTCGGGTCCTGAAGCCTAATGGCTCCATCGTAGTGGTAGCGACTAAGCAGGCAGGCAGTAAAGGAGATTTGAAAAAAGGAGAGCCCTAAACCGTTCTCGAATTGGTGCTGAAATATGCTCAGGACTCGATCAGGTCCTTAATATGGG